AACCAAGAAAGTCTGACTTCTTGATTGTGTTCCATCTTCAAGAAACCAGGGATGCTTTTGATACAGAAAATATCCCACCTTTCATAAGCCCTTTCCCGGAGGAGTTTTCATTCTTGCCAGAGCTGCTGGAATCCCTGGCTAAAATACATGTGCGGGTTTGGAAGAAGACATGCGCAGAATTGAGTGGGATTGGACACCTGCTTCCCCTCCTCTGGGCTTCCTGGATCTCCTGGGGCAAACAGAAACCCTGCCATCTGCCTGGCAGCCTCCTGGGGTTGATGTGGAGGGAGACCCTAGGGTAACTCTAAACCTCAAATCCTGGTCCTGGACCACTCACTGCAGGGGCGTTTCCTGAGGGTGGTTAGAAATGCAAATGAGCAGATGAAACCGGTTTGGCTCAGTGGATAGAGCATTGGCCTGCGGACTGAAGGGTCCCGGGTTCGATTCCGGTCAAGGGCATGTACCTTGGTTGGGCACATCCCCAGTGGGGGGTGTGCAAGATGCAGCTGATCGATGATTCTCTCTCATCGATGTTTCTAACTCTCTATCCCTCTCTCTTCCTCTATGTAAAAAAATCAATAAAAATATATTTTTAAAAAGTGCAAATGATCAGTCCCACCCCAGGCTTACTGAAATGGCGATGTGTGTTTCGACAAAACTTTCTGAGGGTTCTGGTGCAAGCCGAAGTTCAAGACCCCGCACCTTAAATAAAGCACGGTGCCCACTTTTTTAAATTAGCACACTTTTCTCTCCAGCGGCTGCCTCCCTTTTGTCTGTGCCCAGGCAGAAATGCTGTCAAAAGTGCCAACAAGCCCGGTGTCTGGAACAGGGTGAGGCCTGGCTCTGCGGACGTTGTTTGCACACTAAGTTCTGACCATCCGCCAGACAGACTGAAGGTACTGCCAAACCTTCCTGCTGGGAGTAACACCTTAAATGAAGGCCTTCAGCTACTTGGTTTTCATAAGCCAGTGTATTGTATTCAAAATGCTTTTGTGGGGCGGGGCGGTGGTGGCAGGGGTGGGTGTACCTAGTACAGCTTCACCCAGAATCACGAGACACCTCTACCTGGGAATGTTTAAAGGGACCAGAGTTTCTAGAACATTCAATTGACCTGCTCTATACATCAGTACACACAAGAGGAAAAATAAAGATCAACATACCAGGTAATAGCTTGGTAATGATCACCACTGACACAATTCTGTTGGCTTTGCTCATTTATTTGTAAAAATTAACAAGTGAAACATGTTGGGGCTAAATGAGCAATCTGCAGGGTTTCCAGGGGTGGTGTCCAATTTCCTTTTTGGAGCCCCAGAAAGTATACTGAGTCTTTCCTCTGGTGTGTGTTTTGGGGCATATAGTCCTGTTTTTACAGAGGATGGCAGAGGGTAACGCATGCAGCATTTCTGTGTTAGGCCAGACGGATTTGGAATTCAAGCGTGGATTCTCCCTCGTTCCCATCCATCTTCTAATCCTCCATGCTCAATAAAGAGCTTGGAAAGTCAGATCAATACCAGGTGGAGACACAGAAGCCAACATGAGAAGGTGACTTTTTCTCCTGGACTGGGCCAGGCTTGGAGGAGGCTCGATAAACTCATTGTCCTTCCTCAGAGCAAGTCAGATCACCTACAACAGGACACAGGGGTGTTTTGGTAGATTGTTAATTAATACTAGTTAATCTGTTTTAATAAAGGGGCATCCCACTAATTAGGTCAGTTTTAAAGCATCCACCAAATTACTGTGAGAAAATATTTTAGCACATTTTATATATGAGACATTATTGGAATACTGATAGAACAGACACTTTTCAGTAGTGGTAATCCATTCGCTTGAATTATAAAAAAACAACACAAGATGTCTGGTTTAAGGATTCACAGTCATATATATGCTCCCCTATGCCCACTGCAGCATACTTTACCATAGCCAAGATATGGAAGCAACCCAAGAACTCATCAATACACGAGGCAGTAAAAAAAAATAATAATAATAAATGGTGATACATATGTACAGTGGAATATTACTCGGTCATAAATAAGAACAAAAGCTTATCATTTGTGACAACATGGATTGACCTAGAGGGCATTGAACTAAGTGAAATAAACCAGTCAGAGAAAGACAAACACCAAATGATTTCACTTATATGTGGAATCTAAAGAATAAAATAAATGAACAAACGAAGGAGAAACAGACTCATAGATACAAAGAACAGACTGATGGTTGTCAGAGAGCAGGGGGATGGGGAATGGGTGAAAAAGGTGAAGGAATTAAGAAGTATAAATTGGTAGTTACACAATAGTCACAGAGATGTAGATTACAGCAGAGGGAATATAGTCAATAATATTGTAATAACTGTGTATGAAGCCAGGTGGATATTGGAAATATCAGGGGAACACTTTTTAAAGTATATGATTGTCTAATCTCTATGGTATACACCTGAAACAAATAATATTGAATATAAACTATAATTAAAAAAGGAATTCAAAGTCTTGAGGATGGCACACAGCATACTAAGGTATTTATTTATCTCCCAAGAACTCCTGGCGTTCTCTGTCACTGCATGCTGGGGACTCCTTTGCCCTCCAGGGTCAGGCGTGTGGGACTGCTTTCCAAGTGTGGATCTTGCCCAAGATGGGCAGTCAGGATCCTTTTCTGGGGGATTTGGGTTTGAGCAAAGCTAGTCAGTCCAGGAACCGAAGTTTTGTGGGGAGCCTTACGCTTTGAGAAGGTAAGAAGCAAATATGCAGCGAGAGACGGATAGAGGACCCTGGGCTTAGAGAGATGAGAATTCCTGACTGCAGGTTCCATTTCCGCATGAGCCCCGAGGGTACTGCTGAGTTTCTGGAGAAAGCATCACCCCTTTATAATAATTTTCCATTTTATCTCTGAAATCAAACTAGCTTAAGTAACATTTTATTCCTTGCAACTTTCTTGCTTAGACTGAGGTGTGTGGGGAGGGGCAGGTTTGGTCTAACTACACGCTGACAGTGTTGCCCTACATTTTAAAATGGAAGGAAGTCCAGGAAGCCTCTGGATTGTTCCACGTGGAGTATGCCAAGCTAGCTAACATACTAATTGCTGTACATTCATGTCCTGTGTTGTTATTAGGGGGCAAATGCCCTGCCACCACGCTCACTGCATCGCCCCGATCTTCCAATGAGGCTTCTGAGTGGTTAGTGTGAACTGCTGATGACACAGGCATGGTCCAGCCGTGCTGGGGTGCAGGCCTCCCTGGCCATGACACAAACGGTGCAGGGAAGACTCCAACCTGGGCCAGCTGTGGACAGTGTCAGAGAGGGCCTGGCTCAGGCGCTAGATCAGAAGGATTCCCAGGGATGACTTTGTTCTGGGCAGTGAAGAGGGGGCTGTGTGAATAATTCGGGGGAGAGGGGAGAGGGGGAGATACCGCTCAAATTAGTTCACTAGCAAGCATCCACAGGGATTCGCTCCACGTTCACTTTTGTCCCCATGGTTCCGTAGCGATCATGGGTGTTGTGAGAACTGCAAAGTGAGGCTTTTCCACAAGCAGTGATTGGGCTCGGGAGGCAAAGCCCTTCTCCTTCTCCAAGGCACGGAGCCGGGTCTGCTTTGTATGCTGGGCACTTACCTGAGGAGCCATATGGTGCCGCTCTCTGAGGGGCTCAGCACCAGCATCCAATTCCAAACAAACTCATCATCCGGCCTTTCATGTCTTCTCTGGAGAGTGCTGTAACCTGTGGGCACCCAGAACCCGGAGCGGTTCTCCCCCTCCCGGGATGGGGCTCCCCGCCAGGTGCCTGAGGGAGCCTCACAGAGGCCCGGCCTCCCCACGCCAGCTGGTCTGAGATGAGAAGACTGTTTATGGTTGCCTCTGGGACTTGATTAAGAGGATGATATGCACATGGTGGTGAATGGTTACGATTATTTGTTAGGAAAATAAAGATGGCTTTCAAATTTTTTTAAGGCCTTGTCATTGCAAAGCCTTTCCTCCCCTCTCTTCTTCTGCTTACGACTTCCTTTCTGGAGATCAGAGTAGACAGAGCTGTCATAACTCTTCGTCCCGGCGTTCCCAAAACTGTGTGAATATATATTCAAGACGCGCTAAACTCGGGAGTGGACCAAGTCTTCTGTCTTCTCTGTCGCTGAATGAATGAATGAATGCCTTGTTTCTCAAGAGCTGGTCACGAGGCTGCTAAGAGATAGCTGGAAAGTATTTTCCATGATGTCATCTGAGCTTGCGTGGTTGTTTGTTTCTGTTTGTTTGTGTCTCTCCTATATGATAGCATACCTCCAATTTGGGTCAGCTTTTCCCTCCCCTAGTTTTGCATGCAGCTGGGTGGTAGAATGTTTTCTTTTCTCAGACAAAAAATAGGTGCTTGGTGCTTCCCAAAGTCATCGTTAGGGTTAACCTAGCTTAGAAAGTGCAGGAATCTGCCCTCACTGTCATAAGCAAGAGTATTCTAGGATGTCCAGGAATACTCTTATTACTGACGATTTCTCACCGCACGCTCTGCATCCCAGATTCAGGGACTCTCTGACAGATGGGAGCTGCGGCCTGTTCTCTCAGAGGGCTCCGGACCCGGAGGGCTTTGCGTGGAGGAGGAGGCTGAGGGGTGTGAGCGCCAAAAACGGGCTCTGACTCTGGCGCTGCCGGGGCAGGCACTGACACATCCCGCTGGCTCTGGAGGCGTGTTACTTGCTGGAGACCAGCGGGAAAAATGGTAAAGGCAGCTCCCTGAGCCCCAGAAAGCCCGACCCTCCGGGTTCGCCCACATGGTTGCTGATTTCTCTTCTTCCAGGAGAGTTCGTGGGCTTCGGTTTGTCCCTCGTAGGGAGAGGGAAAGCCCCCAAGAGATGGGGGACCTGCTGGCTTCTTTCCTGAAGGATGAGTTTCTCTGCTGGCAGTGAGAGACGTGTGCCGCGGTGCTCCCCGCAGGGTGGGACAGCGCGGAGCAGCCCGTGTCCTACGGTGGGAATCACCTCCGATGGTGGCGCGGGCCGCTCACCTGTGCGCTTTCCCCCCGCAGGTTCACCAGTACTACAGCTGTCTCCCCGAGGAGAAGGTTCCGTATGTCAACAGTCCCGGGGAGAAGCTGCGGATCAAGCAGCTACTGCACCAGCTGCCGCCGCATGACAATGAGGTAAGGGGCTGGGGGGTGGGGGGATCTCAGGAAGCCTTTCCTTAGAACCTTCCCTGAATACTGACCTTTCCACGGTTGGAATGCTGTGGTCCAGATTTCCAAAGAAACCTTCTGGCAGTTCAGTTTAGGTGTTAGCCTCCTTAATTAGAGCCAAGCGCAGCTGTCAGACACCTTCTGGAGAGCACTACCTAAAAGCAAAATCTCACCGTGGGCTGGATTCACCTGGCACTGCCAGGCTCTGGGGTTCACCAGGGAGCAGGGACATTGGAAGGTAGAGTCCAGGCTTTCTCAGTTGAAGAAAAAAGAGCGAGGCTGGTTTCCTGAGCACCTGGGACGGTGGAGATTCCCTGGGCAGTGCAAACCCTGCAAAGACTTTGCAACTCGCTTGAATGTTCAGCGTCATCTCACATTCAATGAGCGCACACATTTCCCCCCATGGCCCATGGCAGCAGACACTATGTGTCCGGATGTGCAGCTCTGAAAACCTGTGTTTTTGTCATTTAAAGTCCAACTTGCTGAGGTCACCCTCTGCACCCTTGAAAGTATGGCCTGCAGGCTGTCCTTTCCTCTGAACCAGTACCCACAGCACTGTGAGCAGGCATTTATCTTTGGAGATAAATTGACCATAAAAGCAATTTAAAATATGCTTTTAAAAGCTCATCATGCTTGAGGGGTTTAGACTTGTAAACTAATAATTAATGTTTAAGTATCTGGTTTGTAAGAACTGTAATCCCGTGGAATTGAATTGCCCACTGAACTCTATTACATTTTAAACAGAAACATAATTTTCGATTGAAAAGAGAGGTAACCCCTTGGTGAGACACCAGCTTCCCATCCACAGCCCCACCCGCGAGCTGGGTCCCAGGGAAGTGACTGTGCTTTTTAGTCTTTCCCTCCCCACGTTTGAAAGAAAAAGGATAGATCAGGAGCCACAAAAGTACGTTTGAATAAGTGGAGCAAAAACTTAAACACGGAGGCCACTCCTAGAAAGAGGGCTGCATTCCCTTTCCTGTTGTTCATTTCAGACTTCATTAAAAAAAAAAAAAAAAAAAAGTATAAATAATGCTTTCTCTTTAAAGCTGAGAGCAAACCTTGTAACCTGATGCCCGGTTAACTAGTTTGGAAGTGAAAATGCGGGTTTTTACAAGCAGGAGGGGTGTGCCTTTCTTAAAAGCTTGTCCATGGAGTGTCAGGGGTGTAACCGTGTAGTCTGGGCTGCTGGGGGCCCGGGTTCTCTCCGGGGAGAAACATCCACAGGAAGACGTTTCTCTTTCTGTTCACTTTTTATGTGGCAGAGGGACCTGACCCTCCCTGTGCTGCTTTTAATGGTTTCTTCTGTTAAAGGTTAACTGTGGTTTCATGAAAAGAGACCTTTCAAATTCCTCCTTCCTGCTGGTGAGAATTCCTTCCATGGGGTCCAGGAAGCAGTTTCACCCATCTAGGCTCAGCCCGTGGAGAACAAAGGGTGACCCTAAAGTGAATATGTGATCCTTCTTTTTTTCACCCAGAGAAGACAGTTTTTATATCTGCAGCCACCCTGGTTTTCAAATGAGGATGCACCAGTCTAGTTCAAGGGCCCCCTGTAGCCATCTGGCTGGTAGTCATCTGAGCATTTCAGTCAGCCTTCTGAAGCTCAGATTATTCTAAAGGCAGGCAGGTGGTGGGGTTAGGACAACGTTTGCCGAAGTGTGATAGACACGGGACTTTAGGTGGGACACGGGCAAGGCAGTATGCTCTCAGTATGTAATGAGAGAGCACTTCCTTGTAAGTTGTATGTCCTTCCGTGTGAATGACAAAGGGAGGCATTTAGGGGGAGCCAGCAGCTGTAGCGCCTCTGCCCATCCTCCTGGTGTCTGCTTGGAAGCTGCTGCATTAAGAATCTGCATTTGAGGACCTCCCCCGGGCCAAAGCATCCGGGTAGAATCTAGCCATGTGGTTTCCTTCTCTCTTTAGCTTATGGTCGCCCTCTGATTTTTTACAGGCAATACAGATCTGCCATTTATAATCATAATATACTTTCTTTTTAAGTAAATCTATTCAAGTTTTTAAAAGTGAGTCAGTGTTAAAACAGTACATAAGTGTTACCGGTGGAAGTGGGTATCTCTTTCCTCACTGAGTGCTGGGGGTGGTGTCCTTACATCTCAAGAAAAGGAATCTTCTGAGACTTGCACGGGAGAATGAGTGATTTTTATTTGCATGGAATTACATCCCTGGGTTTCCAACCTCCCATCTCCCTCCGTCCAGTCCTAGAAGAAGTGTGGTGGGGCGTCAGTAGAGCTAAAACCAGAGCCAGGGTCCAGGGTTCCTTCCATGTTGGAGCCGGGGCCACGTCAGCATCAGGCTGGCTGCAGTCCATGAGTCCATCGCGGGTGAGGTTGGCCATGGGCCATGTAGGGGAATGCAGGGGAGCCCCACAAGCCAGGAGTGAACCAAAACACACCAAGAGCCAGGAGAAAACCAGAGAGTCAAGGGGAATTAAGAGAGCGAACTCCTTCGTTCAGGGGACCAAAAATCCCAAATTTCCCGCCTTTGTGGTGGCCATGCCTACCCTGGCCAGGGACCTGCTCCCAGGTGTGCCTAACAGGAAAGCACCTTCGGTTGTCACCCCCCAACTTTACTGAGCCTTTGTCTCTCATCCTTTAGCTGGACCACTGGGGAGTGCAAAGTTTTACCTTCTGGCGAAACTGCCCCAATGACATGCCTATGATACTTAGCCTTAAAAAAAAAACAAAAAAACTTAGCCTTCCCTTTGCTCCTCTCCTGTTGTTACTAATTGTCCTACTATTAATCACAACAGCACCATTAAGTAGGTGGTACATCAAGACTCAGACAAAATTCCCAAGATGTGCAGACCTAAGGGAAGAGATGGAAATACTGGATGGAATGTCCATGATGTCCCTCCCTTACTTGTGGGTCTGTGTTTGACAGGAAGGATCATAGCTTAATGCAAGTCCATCCATTAACCAGAGCCCAGCAGGCGGTTTTTTCCTCCGCCTCACAGAAAAGCAGGCAGGGACTCCCATGAAGCAACACAGATGCTTTTGAGCCAACTCTTCAGTCTCAAGCCTTTGGTTCCCCATTTTCCCAACAACGAGGTGACAGAAGAGGAGCTGTGAGCCCACCGACAATGGTTCTGGCTCGCTGGCCTGGAGCCGTCATCGGTGTGAAGGACCACTTACCTGGGCACCCGGCCATGAAAGCATCAGGACCCTGCAATCAGTGTGAAGATGCAAACCCGCCAAAACCGGTTTGGCTCAATGGATAGAGCGTCGGCTTGGGAACTGAAAGGTCCCGGGTTCGATTCTGGTCAAGGGCATGTACCTTAGTTGCAGGCATATCCCCAGTAGGGGGTGTGCAAGAGGCGGCTGATCGATGACTCTCATTGATGTTTCTAACTCTCTCTCTCTCTCCCTTCCTCTCTGTACAAAATCAATAAAATATATTAAAAAAACAAAACAAAAACAAAACATGCAAACCCATTGCAAAGAAGGAGAAAGTCCCAGATCTGGGATTGGGGGGAGCAGAGTGAGGCAGTGAGGATGAGGAATAGCTACAGACCTTCATCCTGTCCAAGCCTTGGGCTCTCGAGTTTGATGCCTTTAGTCAGAGACTCATTTCAAATGTCCCCAAGCCTGGCGGGGTTCAAGTCCAGGCCAGAGAGGGGCACGTTTGCTGAGAAAGCTGAGGCCTGGGCTTCGGGAATCCTAAGGGGAAGAGCAAAGAGTGACTCTTCCGTTCCACCTCTGCGTCCCTTCAGGTCCGATACTGCAACTCCCTGGACGAGGAGGAGAAGCGGGAGCTGAAGCTCTTCAGCAACCAGAGGAAGCGCGAGAACTTGGGCCGAGGGAATGTCAGGCCCTTCCCGGTCACCATGACGGGAGCCATTTGTGAACAGGTGAGCGTGGAGGCGGGACTGCCGGGCTGGCTTGCCCTTGGCCTTGCCCTTCACTCACTTTCTGAGTGCCTGCTGGGGCCAGGCGCTGTGCTGGGCACAGGGATACAGCAGTGAACAAACGTTTAAAAGCTTGATCTTGCCCTTGTTAGGAGTTAGATTCTAGCGGGGAAAGCCAGACAGTAACATAGATAAGCAACATAGAAAATAATACGGCAGGGAAGGGGTCAGGAAGTGCTGGGCATAGGGGTGAGGTTGCAGTTTTCATAAAGTGGCCTGGAAGGCGCCCCCCTTAGTAGGTGGCTTCTGAGCAAAAACAAGCAAGAGCTGAGAGAGGGAAGCACGTAAGCCTTGGGGAGGGGCAGCGGGGGCAGCGGGGACAGAGGGCTCACAGGCCCTGAGGCAGGACATTTCGGTCAGATTCGCCAAGTGGCCTGTGTGGCAGGGCAGAGGGCATGAAGGAGGAGAACTGACAGAGGGCCAGGGCCTGGGGGTTAAGTGTCCATTGGAAAGAATTAGGCCAGGGGTTGACATATGATGGATTTATATTTTAAACGAGTCCTTTAGAAAGTGGAGTTTGCTGGACCTGGGTCAGCCTCGTTCCCAGGGTCAGTGACATTTGCAGGGTGGGAAATGGGGACAGCAAGTGTCTATGTCATAGAAAGATGTTGCGATTAAATGAGATTCTGTCTCGTTAAAGTAATTAAACAAAGAGGCCATTACACTGAGGTGGCTCTACTGCTTTGTACGGTAGCAAACCAAAACCTAAGCCAGAATCAATGCACTAGAATCCAAGAAAACAAAAGTTAAGAACAATCAATCACAAATTCGAATCAGGCTTTCCCAAATAAGGTGACTGCTTAAGTCACAGCCCCTCAAACCACTGCTTTCTCTGCTTCCGCCTCTTTTCTGTAAGAACCTGCCCCTGAGCTCCCATCCGAGGGGCATTCCAACCTCCTTCAGTTGGTGCTGCCCAACTCGATTCAATATTTGCTAAATGTTGAATGTGCCTCAGTTTACCTATTAACAGTATGCTACCCCAGTTCTACCTATGTTATAAGAGGAAGGGTTAGTGCTTTTGGTAGCATAGTCTTTCCCTTATCTGATCACATAATTGGGCTCCCAGAGCCAGTTTCATGACCTCTCTACTCCTTTTTCTAGAAAGCAGTTCAACCCACCAGAGGCCCATGATGTAGGGAGGGTTCAGAGGTAGCGTTTCTACTCCATAGACATTGTCCCTGGAGCTCTGTCCCTCATGTGGGGCCTGGTACCGGGCCCTCAGGCTGTGACCCTCATGCCAACACCCTGGTGAGCCGAGAGCCTGCCCCCAGACCCACTGATTCCTCCCTCAAAGGCCCTCAGACCATATTTGTTTTTCCCAAACCCCAGCCTTAAGCAGGGCCACCGGGGACTCTGCCTTGCCCCTTTCTGGATGGGGAAGGAGCTTGGGAACTCGAGTGGGAAGATAAGGGAGGGCCAGGGAAGAGGCCCTTTCCAGAGGCTGGTCTTAGAAGCAGTGCCTTTCCCGTCAGGATTATGTAAAAAGATGCTGGCAGAAGCAGGCTAACGGCAGGCCTGAGAGACTGTCTGGGAAATAGTTAAAGGCGGGCACATTCGAATGAACCCACTCCCCTTACCATCTTACAGCCCACTCCCGCCTCAGCCCCCACAGCCTCCTCCTCCTCCTCATCTTAACCTTGTCTGCCTCTGATGGAGTTTGTGTAATGTGCCTCCTGCTGGAGAGTTTTCTTCTTTCCCACCTTTGTGAGTCCTGGTTTTCTGTTACTTAATTAATCTTCATCTTACGTGGTGGCCCTGGGCACGGAGAGGGGGAGGCACACGTATGTAGAGCAGGCAGCACAGGGCCTCGTCGGAACGTAAGTGCCCCATGGTGGAGACTGGTGGAGGTGGTGGTGGTTTGTCACCTGTGCGGGGTGAGAGAGGTGGGCCCCCTGTTCACACGCACGTTTCCCTTTGCCTCGCAGTGCGGGGGCCAGATTAACGGCGGGGACATCGCTGTGTTCGCGTCGCGCGCCGGCCACGGGGTGTGCTGGCACCCGCCCTGCTTCATCTGCACCGTCTGCAGCGAGCTGCTGGTGGACCTGATCTACTTCTACCAGGACGGCAAGATCTACTGCGGCCGGCACCACGCCGAGTGCCTGAAGCCACGCTGCGCCGCCTGCGACGAGGTCAGTGCGCTCCCGGGGTGGCAGCCCTGCCCGCAGCCGCCGTGGCATGACCCACACAGTGGGGCTGTGACCATAGCAGCCCCCACACCTTCCTGTATTAACCCTTTCCCGAGAGAAGTCCCCATCCCGGATGGCTGGCTGTCGGGGACATGGCCTGCATCACTGAACGCACAGCCCCATGGACCAGGTGGGAAGGCAGCTGGTTTCTGTAGCTGAGGTGACTCCTGGCATTGGGTCCATTCAGAGTGTTAACGAAAGGAACCATGGTATCATACAGCTTTAGGTTTCAGCCCAAATCCCAGAGAGTCATCATCTCTAATAACAAAAGAGTAATATGCTAATTAGACCAGATGTCCTTCCAGGTGACCTTTCCGGTCGAAGCTGAGGCTGTAAGGGAAGCCTGTGTCCCTGTGCCTGCTGGCGGCTGGAGGGAGGCCTGGGTCCCGGGTGCCAGAGGGAAGCTGGTGCCGGCAGCTGCAGGAAGGGAGGCCTACTCTTGCATGAATTTTGTGCGTTGGGCCTCTAGTCAGTAATGATGTGCCCCTTATATCTTTAAAAGCTCTGTTTTCTGAGCTTCAGAGGGAGAGGTTGGTTTGGGAAGAAAGCTGGAGGCATTATTTAATTTTCTCACAACTTATAGAAGTTCTGATGAGGATTCAGGAGGCAGATGGATATTCCCTCTGGATACCTCTGTCCCGCACTCTAAGAACTTGAATTTGCTTCCTGGAGTAAGACAGCAGACAGCAGCACAAGCCAGGCCTGGTGCTTTCTGCGACCTGGGAGACTAGAACACCTGGTTTAGCTTTAAAGGTTTGGAGCGTACAGGCTCCATACAAACATTTTAAGAGTTTGGAGCAGAAAGGAGAACGTGTTAAAGCTGACCACTATTATGGGGTTCATCAAGGGAAAGGTCTTGGATGGGGTTTCCTCCTGCAGAGTGGATTTTTGGTTCTCTCCACCTTGTACACAGAAATGTGGAACTTATGAACAACACTCCCTTTTGTAGCCAGAGTTCACTCCACTGGGCATTTCTTCCACATAAATTGTCCAGGAGCGATTCGCTCTTCTAGGAGAGAGTTTTATCTGTCTTAACTAATTGGATTCTAATGCTAATGGTGATGCTCTAAGACCCACTAGGCAAGTAGTTGGGAAACTGAGTTCAGGTCCAGCTTGGTGATTCTAGGCAGCCGCTTTACCTTCATGCCTCAGTTTCCACATCTGGAAATGAGTGCTCCTAATACATTATGTCACTTAATGGCAAATAGAATATGATGCTTTAAGAGCTTTGAAATTTTTGTTTATTGAGATGTAACTCACAGAGCATAAGTTTCACCCTTTAAAGTGTGTGCATCCAATGATTTTAATATCATCACAGAGTTGTGCAACCATCACTAATACCCAATCCCGCCTCGAAAGGAACTCTGTCTATTAGTACAAACTTCCCTTTCCCCCTCACCCAGCCCCTGAAACCACTAATCACGTCTCTCTCTATATGGGTTTACATATTCTAGACATTTTATATAAATGGAGTAGACAATGTATGACCTTTTGTCTCTGGCTCCTGTCACTTAGCATGCTGTGTTCAAGGCTAATACAGGCTATAACCTATATCGGTACTGTATTCTTTTCCATGGCTGAATGATATTCAGTGGTATGCAAATGTCACATTTTGTTTAGCCATTTTTCAACTGATGGACATTTAAGTTGTTCCCACTTTTTGACAATTATGAATGATGCTGCTAGGAACATTCATGTATGAGTTTTTGTGTGGACACATATTTGTAGTTCTCTAGGAATGGAATTGCTGGGTCATATGAAAAATCTGTTTAATTTTCTGAGGGAATCCAAACTTTCTTCCAGAACAGCTACACCATTTTACATTCCCACTATCAATAAATGAGGATTCCAGTTTCTCCACATTCTCAACATTCATTGCTTATCTTTTTTATTATAGTCATCTTAGTGGCTGTAAAGTGGTTGTGGCTTGCATATCCTTAACAGCTAATAATGTTGAGCATCTTCTCATGTGTTTATTGGCCATTTGTGTATTTTTCGTTTTTTTAAGAAATGTCTATTCAAATCCTTGGCCCATTTTTTTACTTATGTGATTTTTCTTTTCACTGTGGGATTGTAACTATTTAAATATTGTGGATACTAGTTTTTTTTCTTTTTTTTCTTTTTTAATATATTTTATTGATTTTGTACAGAGAGGAAGGGAGAGGGATAGAGAGCTAGAAACATCGATGAGAGAGAAACATCGATCAGCTGCCTCTTGCACACCCATATGCCCGCAACCAAGGTACATGCCCTTGACCGGAATCGAACCCAGGACCCTTCAGTCCCCAGTCCTCAATGGACGCTCTATCCATTGAGCCAAACCGGTCCTGGCTGGATACTAGTTTCTTATCAGATACATGATTTGCAAGTATTTTCTCCCATTTTGTGGTTATATTTTCATTTTCTTGATGATGTCCTTTGAAACGTAAAACTATTTAACTTGGATAAGGTCCAATTTATTTATATATATATATATATATATATATATATATATATATATATATATAGTTACTTATGTTTTCAGTGTATCATACCTAAAAAACCATTGCCTAATGCATTGGTCAGCAAACTCATTAGTAAAGAGTCAAATACCAACAGTATAATGCTTGAAATTTCTTTTGGGAGCTGAAAACCAACTTCTGCACATGGGCCATGAAGTTTTAATCACACTGTACATGCACTCCCACACGTGGTATTTTGTGGAAGAGCCACACTCAAGGGTCCAAAGAGCCACATGTTGCTCTCGAGCCGCAGTTTGCCAACCTCTGGCCTAATGCAAGGTCATGGAAATTTATACCTGTGTTTTCTTCTGGGTATTTTATAGTTTTTGGCTCTTTGGGTCTTTAATCCCTTTGAGTTCCTGTAGTGGACAGTGTGAGATAGGGGTTCTGATTCATTCTTTTGCCTGTGGCTCTCCACTTGTCCTATCCCCATTTGTTGAAGAGACTGTTCTTCCCCCATTGAATGTCCTTGGCTCCCTTGTTGATAATCAAGTGGCCAATTTGTTTGGGTTTATTTCTGTGCTTCTAATTCCATTCTCTTGATCTACATGTCTATTTTTATACCAGTACCCACTGTCTGGATTACTGCAATTTGAAGGAAGCTATTAAATCTATACTTTAGATTTTTTTAAGAACTCTACATTAAAGGTCAAAACACAAATGCTCTGAGGGCAATAGGTACTGCACAGGAAGAGGGCTCATGTTAAGGCAACAGAGAGTGGTGACGAGCGCTCACCACTTACGTGGGAGCAGCAGCCCATCTTCCTGCCCCAGCTGCTCATACACACGGGGACGTACACTGCATGTTGCCACATATGATACACTCAAGAGATAAACCAGGATTCCAGGTGTTTGTATGGCATTCCCCACTTTTTAAAAATACTGTGCATAGGCCAAGTAAAACAGACACATATGTTCAAAGTGCCCAGAAGCTGTCTGTTTTTGGTCCTGCTCTATGTTACTCATATTTAGAACCTTCTTTCTCTTATTAAAATGTGGTTAAAACTAATTACAAGGCCAGACTGGAAACCATGTTTAGTTGTACTTCAGGCAAATCCAAATGTGGGAGCTGATTAGATCTAGCATGAGCATGTTCTCATCCACTTCTGTTTGACAATTTGTTGAGAGGGGAGGGACAGCTTTCCCACTCTTCTAGTGTGGGTCCCTCCCTGTGCTCATTTAAGGTGCATCCTCTGGGCTGGGTCCTAACCATCTGGCTCCCTCATCTCCAGATCATCTTTGCCGACGAGTGCACCGAAGCCGAGGGGCGGCACTGGCACATGAAACACTTCTGCTGCTTCGAGTGCGAGACCGTGCTGGGCGGCCAGCGCTACATCATGAAGGAGGGAAGGCCCTACTGTTGCCACTGCTTCGAGTCCTTGTATGCAGAATACTGCGACACCTGCGCCCAACACATAGGTGAGGCCACGCGTGAGGCTCAGCCCGGTCCTCCTGGGACTGGACCTTCACTGTGTCTGGTGTCCCTAGAATCCCTTTGGGTGCAAATGGTAGAAACCCAACTCATGCTAGCATAAGTGAATAAAGGGACTGTCTTGGCTGACGTTACTAGAAAGGCCAAGGAGTATGTTGGCTACAGGTAGAGATGGATCAAGGGTTTAAACAAACTCTCTTTGTTCCTCCGTGTCTCTCCTCAGCTTGCCTTCTGTTGGTATCTTTCGGGAACAAGCTGCCTTCTCATGGCGGCCAAGATGACCCTCCAAGTATATGCATTTAGTAATTGTATCCTGTAGAGGAGTGGGGCTGTGATCTTCCAGCATCCAAGTCAGGTCTCTGTATAGGAGCCCCATAGGCCATGGTCTGGTCATGTGTTCTGCCCTGGAAACAAGAGAATAAGGAATTCCTAGATTCCTATTGGTTTGCCTGAGTCATAGGCCCACCTCTGGGTGGGGCTATGTGATGTACAGCCCCACTACCACAGAGGGATCTCAGAAATAAACTATAAACAGATGTCTTCCACTGCCTCCCTGGAAAACTCAAGTGTTAACAGAGGGAGGAACCAAAGCAGCTATCTTGGTAGGATAGTCAAGAAAACCAAATGGTTTCTGGCAAGCATGTCTTAAAAAAAAAAAAAAAGGCTGACCCAGCCAAATACAAAGCAAGCATACCTCAAATAGCCCATAAGCTATAGACTCTCCAAATAAGTGGCAGTTCTAAGATGGCGTCTATCATTTTCCCTTTGCAAAACTAACCAGTTTGTTCGCCCTCCAACGCTGTTCTGGATCATCTGTGGCTTCTCCACTCAACTTGCCTGTTCTGGCACCTTGAGAAGGAGCTGCCCTTTAAAGAGAAAGGAAAGCTGGCCAGGGATGGAGGTCTGTGAGGCCAGCAGCTGGTCTGCCTGTGGTTTGTGCCATTCCAGGCAACGTGCTCAGAAGCTGCCTGCGTCTCACCTGCGGTGGGTAGGTGGGGAGGAAGTCAGAGATTTTATCAGGAACAAGGAGGAGTGGCTTTGTCTCCCTAGAGCAAGCATGTCAAACTCAAAGGCTAACACAGGCCAAATAAATGAGGCATGCTGCCTGTGAGCCGTGAGCTTGACATGCTTGCCCTGGTTCATCAGATGTGATGCATTCAGATGTAAAACCAGCTAGTCATTTGGAGGGTTTCGGGTGTTGATGAAAATCACAGCTTTGTGGACACGGCTCGCACATGGGCTTAGGCCTTTGTTGTCGGGTGTCCACCCCACACGTCCTGCTTCTGGAAGGCCCTTCCGGGCTGGTGGCCCTGCCAGGCCCAGGGTTGGGCATCGTTTTGCTTACCTCTGCCCAGCAGCATCCCTCCTGGGGCCTGAGGGACCCAGCCCGAAACACCTCCCTCTCCATGGCCTGGTGCCAACCAAGAATCCCACAGTCTTCACTCAGAGATAAGCTTCCTTGCAGGGTAAGCATTAGGGAACGGGACCCTGGTTCGGACAAGTGCCTGGGCCGTGAGAAGGGCGGGGTGGGACGCTGTCAGGGGAGACAGAGCACCTCCCTACCCCACCTTCTCGCTGTGGGTTCGGAGTCTGCAAGGAGGTGCTTGCTCAGGTGACAGGGGCTGAGTGAACAGAAGACGTGCCCACGGCAGCGATGCCCCTTCGCCTCAGTGTTTCTGCATCTTCTGTCCCTTTCCTGGGAGGCGTCAGAGCCGCTCCAGACACTGGCATGCGGATCGCGCTTAGTGGCTGGAAGAGAGGAGATCACACCGTGCCCACAGCCGCTGCCCCTCAGGAGGCCACGGCCTTCTCTCTTCGCTTCTCCTAGCTGGTGGAGAATGGTGACTGGCGTTCCCTCTTCTTTCCTCTTAAATCCGTACAAAGGCGTGCATGTTTTACCAGAGAAGAACTCTGTGGCCTGCAACATTGTCACCGCTGTGTTAAAATGCTGCCCCTGGGTTGTTTTGTCCTAGGTCCATTTTCCTGTAAAACGTAATTTCCTGCGGCAGGGAGAGGTGTGCTCCGGGTACCGTGCACGCCGCAGTCTCTGGTGCTTTGCTCTGACCACATTCTGCAAATATTCCATATTTATATAGCTGCTCCGCGCAGACCCTGCATCAGGCAGCCGTTGCTAGGGCAACGGTACTCTTGCCCGCGCTCAGCAAACAGTCCTATAAACAGACGGCGGCTGGAGCGGCAGCAGACACATCGCCCTCAGAGAAGTACTTAAGGGGCTTAGCGGGGAGGGAAAAAGAGCACTTAGATGAGGGCCGGCAGAGCCCTTTCCAGATATTGAGAGTTCAGGGGCAGTTCAGGGCGCGTGTGACTGTCGCTGATGTTTATCAGGGACCACGTTCCGCTGCCGGCCGGGCCTCTTCGTAACACGCCTCCCCAGCCCCTCCCCACAGAGACCCAGCCCTCTGAGAGGCCCCCACTCCGAGGAGGAGGCCCCTGCCGCCTATCTGAGCTCGTTTCCTGCAGAAGCACGAAGGAGCATGCATGGGGAAGTGGGTGGAGGATAGGCTGCAGGAGCTGGCCTCCCTGTGTGCCTGTGACGGACGGACGGACGGACGGGTGGAGGGCTGCAGCTGCGGAGACCTGTGCTGAGCGGGAGCCCACAGTGAGGGCCCAGGGCAGCCGGGAGGGCAGCTTAGGCCCCGGAGGAAAGGAGAGAGAGGTGCGGGGAGACCAGGTCAACCTGAGTTCTCCCCTGGCCTGCATACAGGCACAGCCGCCAGAGCCAAGAGGGAGACAGACATTAAGACCTAAAAAACGCAAGACGAGCAGTGAGAATAGTTACCGGCAGGGGCCTAAGCATTCTCTGCTTATTAACTCAGCCAGTCCCCACAGCAGCCATGAAGTAAGTGCCACAGTTATCCCTGTTCCATTGAGGAGGCACGGAGGCACAGAGAGATGGAGCCTAGAGCAGTGGTGGGCAAACCGTGGCTCTCGAGCCACATGCAGCTCTTTGGCCCCTTGAGTGTGGCTCTTCCATACAATACCACGTGCAGGCGCGCATGTACAGGGCGATTGAAACTTCGTGGCCCAGGCGCAGAAGTCGGTTTTCGGCCTGGGCGAGTCTATTCTGAAGAAGTGGTTCTAAAGCCGAGCCACATGCAAGGAGCCAAAGAACCGATGTGGCTCTCGAGCGCAGTTTGCCGACCACTGGCCCAGGGTCACACAGCCAGACAGCGGCAGAATCCGGATTTGAACCCATGCTGGTGGACCTCGGCATCTTTACAGCCAGCTGGAATGGCAGGGTCCCGCTCAGCTGCCAGGGTGCTGCCCGCCCTTGCGTCCTGCCTCAGCCAGTTCTCACTGCGGGGAACGCAGTGCTGAATGGAAGCCAGTTGGTCCGGTGCTCCACTCCCCTTGGGGTGGCCCTGGTGGCTGCTCCCGTCCCTCTAACAGTGCCCTTGGGTCCCCAGGGCTGACTCCTAAAGAAACCAAGACCCTTGGCTTGGGGAGGAGCCAGGCCAAGAAGCCTGTACCTTATGCCCCGCTCTCCTGGGCCCGGGCCGGGAAGTGAGGGCACAGACAGGGCAGGAGAGCTGCCCATGTTGGCCTTCTCTTTCCCTCCGCTTTCGTTCGCCGCCTCTCTGGACGAGTCTCTGGGAGTTATTCCTGGAAAGGCTTCCTGTTCTCAGCCGCCACAGGGGAAGGATCACGTTAGTCCTGCCTTTCGGAAAGACGTTCCCGTCAGACCCAGAGGTCCCCTTCCTTCCCACACGCGATTGGGGGGCTGCGTTCTCAGCAGGCTCCCCACAGGACGGCCCCGCAGCCCCGGCTTTCGTTCTGCCGTCACTGGCTTACTGCGGGCCCAGGACTCCTCTGGGCCCGTGCAGGTCACCTCCCCAGCCCGAACCAGCCCCTGGGCCGGGAGACACGTTATTTTCCTGGCCAGTGCTGGGACCGGGTGTAGCTTTAGCTTTGCCCAAAGCTCCTGGCCCCAGGGCGATCGGGCCTCTGGAGAGATTAAGTCCTATAACCAGGAGAAGGCCACAGGTTGAGAACCACTAGCAGGTTCGCCTAAGACCATGGAAAAACACAGATATTTACATTTTGATTCATTAACGGTAGCAACATTACAGTAATGAAGTAGCAACGAAAATAGTTTTATGGTTGGGAGTCACCACAACATGAGGAGCTGTATTAAAGGGCCGCGGCATTAGGAATGTTGAGAACCTCTGCATAAAGAGGTCAGCAGGAGTGGGTGGGGAAGGGTGGAGAGGTGTCAGGGGGGTGGACAGGACGACGTCCCCAAGGAGCTGGCCCTTGCGCAGACCCCTAAGGGGAGTGAAGGAGGCGGTGCCATGTCGTGGTAAGGGCAAGGCTTCCTGGGTCGATCCCGTCTGTGACTCCCCACTGTCTTACACCCGGCTGGTTATCTGGCCTCCTGCGCCTGTTTTCTCACCTGAAAAAAAAAAAAATGGAAATGATGTTTTCATTTTTTTCAGGTGAGAAAAAAATGGAAACGTCATTTTTTCTCACCTGAGCCCGTGGAGGGATTGAATGAGTTTACATACATGCAAAGCGTTTGTCCTCGTTGGTATCATGATGCGTGTGTGCCGGGCAGGATTCATGGTGGGCCAATCTGACCTAGTGTCTCTGCTCAGCCCAAATGAGCCGCCTGGAACGAGAAGGAGGCGGGGGTGGGGTGTGTGTGTGTGTGTGTGTGTGTGTGTGTGTGTGTGGATAGGACATGAGCACCATTGACGGGGGTTTGAACCGCGGGTTTAGTCACATGGGCTCCTGCCACAGGTGGCGGCCCGGCCCCTCCGGCATGCGGACGTGTCACAGTGCAGGGACTAGTCTGAGCCCCTCCTCAGCCTCCCCCGTGTCTCCTCTCCTCAGGGATCGACCAGGGCCAGATGACCTACGACGGCCAGCACTGGCACGCCACCGAGACCTGCTTCTGCTGCGCTCACTGCAAGAAGTCCCTCCTGGGGCGGCCCTTCCTCCCCAAGCAGGGCCAGATATTCTGCTCGCGGGCCTGCAGCGCCGGGGAGGACCCCAACGGCTCGGACTCCTCCGACTCGGCCTTCCAGAACGCCAGGGCCAAGGAGTCCCGGCGCAGCGCCAAGATCGGCAAGAACAAGGGCAAGACGGAGGAGCCGGTGCTGAGCCCGCACGGCCAGCTGCAGGTGAGCGCCAACCGGCTGTCCGCCGACGTGGACCCCCTGTCGCTGCAGATGGACCTGCTCAGCCTGGCCGGCCAGACGCCCAGCCTGAACCGGGACCCCATCTGGAGGAGCCGGGACGAGCCCTTCCACTACGGGAACCAGCTGGAGCAGAGCCAGCCGCCCAGCCCGCTGCAGCTGCTCAGCCAGTGCAACATCAGGACTTCCTACAGCCCCGCGGCCCAGGCGGGCGCCGCGCCCGACCTGTGGGCCCCGCACTTCAGCAACCCCAAGCGGAGCTCGTCCATGGCGCTGAAGGGCCACGGCGGCAGCTTCATCCAGGAGTGCCGGGAGGACTACTACCCGGGGCGGCTGCGCTCCCAGGAGAGCTATAGCGACATGTCCAGCCAGAGCTTCGGGGAAGCCCGGGGCAGCATCCAGGTCCCCAAGTACGAGGAGGACGAGGAGGAGGAGGAAGGGGGCATGCCCGCCCAGCAGTGCCGGACCCGCCGTCCGCTCAGCTCCCTGAAGTACACCGAGGACATGACGCCCACGGAGCAGACCCCTCGGGGCTCCATGGAATCCCTGGCGCTGTCTAACACCACAGGTAGGCTCTGTTCCCCTGGCGGGTACACGGCCTGGGTGACCTCGGGGTGGCTGATGCTGGTCCTCAGGGTGTCCATGCTGTCCCGCCGTGCGCCCCCTCCAGCAGGTCACTGGGGAAGATGCACCCACGTCTCAGGTGATGGATTCCCAAGAAGCAGAGCTGAGGCAGACATCCGGGTGCCTGTGACCTGTGGAGGGTGCTTCCAAGGAGGGGGATGGAGGGGGACACAGGACAGGGAGGGGGCGGAGCCAAGTGAAGGGTGCTGTTGGGCCAGGAGCCAGCTTCAGCCCAACCCACAGGGCTCTGGGGAGGGTGCCACACTGTTGGTTCCCGCTGTGGCAGAGGGGCTGGCGTTGGCACCACCGTGTCAGTCGGTCATTGGGTTTGGGCTGCTGGCCAGCGACTGGGACACCAGGCTGTGGGTGTGGCATGGGGCAAGGCAGCTCCTGCAGGTCAAAGGCGACATCCAGGAGAAGAGACAGCTGTGAGCTGGAGGCCTGGCTCACATGTCCACAGCGTGGTGTTCTGAGCCCGGGATCTCATCAGGGAGCTGGTTTTAACGTGTAGATAGCAGCAAAGGAGGCATGGACAGAGCTGGCAGGGCAGAGTGGAGAGGACGGAGAGAGGGGGAACCCAGTGCCCACCCTCTCCGGTCACGTTGTCTGGCTGGTTCCTGTACGTGTGGAGACGTGGAGATGCTCCCTAGGCTGGCACTGCTCCAAGGGCCCGAGGACCAGGGCCAGCCGCAGTGCCCAGGGAGATCAGGACAGAAAGGACAATGGTTAGGAACGCATAGAACAATTTGACAACACCCACGCGCATGCTTGTTGTGCTCATTTACTGGCCCAGCTACACACCAGCCAGGTGTGTTGCATGAGTTGCATGTGGCGTGGCTGTGTGTCCGTCCTGTTCAGGAAGGCACCCGTCCGTCCACAGTGCATTCAAGCTAAGCTGGTCCATCGCTTGAGAAGTACCGCTCTGGGATACACTGAGTGTATCGCTCCTGGTGCCTGGCCCCGAGGGGGGAGACACATCTACCGGGTATAGCGGGTCCCCTGGCCCGGTGAGCCTGGGTGGAGATGGATACACGGGCACAGGTGGGCTCCGCTGCGGGTTGCCACATGCAGTTATTTACGCACGCGGCTAGTGGCACAGCTCTTGCCATGGGCCAAACCTTGTTCTGAGCTCTTCATAAATATTCACTCGGTTACGTTATCACACCCCATGAAGGAGGAAGACTAGTGAATTCTCTTTTCAGAGTTGAAGAAACTGAGGCACAGAGAGGCTCAGGGACTTGACCCAGCTTTTTAAAGGTGGAGACGGGCTTGAACCTGTGCACGTGACCCCGGGTGGCCCCCTAACCACCAGGCTGCCACCCAACATGAGCCCAGGCTGTCAGCTCTCCCAGTTGCTTCAGACAAGTCAGAGCTGTGCACTTGCCCCGGCCGGTGGGCTCTGTCGGTTGGAGCATCATCCCATGCACCAGGGGGTGTGGGTTCGATTCCCAGTTGGGGCACATCCCTGGGTTGTGGGTTCGATCCCACGTCAGGGTGAGTGCGGGAGGCAGCCAATCCATATTTCTCTCTCACATAGATGTTTCTCTCCCTCTCTTTCTCTTCTTCCCTTCTTCTTCTTCTCTCTCTCTCTCAAACCAATAAAAACATTTCCTTGGGGTGAGGGTTAACGAAAGAAAAAGAAAAAAATTCAAGAGAATGAGTGCTCTGTTCTTATGGAGACAGCTTTAAAAATCTACATTTTAAAAAAAAAAGTGAAATCTATGTAAACTCTCAGCTAACAGGCAGAACGTGTCTCTGAGTTGCAGGATGTGTTTTTAGCTACCGTCCCCTCAAATGCGTTCACACCTGTGTTCTCCCTCGTCCTGGAGGACAGACAGCACGCATCCTCACCCCCATGTTTCAGAGAGAAAAGTGAGACCTTGGTGATTAAGCACCTCGCTAATGCCGTAGAAGTGAGCAATTAGTGCGGAGCGATGACTGCCTGGCGCCCAGCCCAGCCAGCGCTGCTCCCCGAAGATGTAAGCGCTCTAATGGTCTAAGAGGCCAGGAGACAAGCAGCTCAGCCTCCGGAGCAGCGCCTCCAAGCTAGACCATCTGCATCGCAATCATCAGCTGTGACTCAAACGTGGACTCCGGCCCCAGCCCCCCTGCAGCAGAGCCCGCAGAGGAGGGGGCCAGGAGCCTGCTATCTAACCAGCTCCCTGCTGTCTGAGAATACTTGTTCCAGGGTCTTTCCTGTTCTTACTTTCTTGTCCTCACACTGGGACTTTGGGGCAATCAGACCTGTGGGTTGGGGGGCGTTGGGAAGGCCAGACAGGTGCATTTGAAGAACATGTAGTCTCTGATCTTAAGAAAGAAGCAGGGGCAGAAACTGGTCTGGCTCAGTGGTAGAGCGTCTGTCTGCGGACTGAAAGGTCCCAGGTTCGATTCTTCTGGTCAAGGGCATGTACATTGGTTGCGGGCACATCCCCGGTAGGGGGTGTGCAAGAGGCAGCTGGTTGATGTTTCTCTCTCATCGACGTTTCTAGCTCTCTATCCCTCTCTCCTCCTCTCTGTAAAAAATCAATAAAATATATTTAAAAAAAAAAGGAAAAGAAAGAAGCAGGGGCTTTATCCCTATGGTTCTCTCTGACTCCTTGGGCAAAGCACCTCGCAGCCCTCTATCCCTGAGAGTTGAGAAGCAGCGTGAGCCGTGTCTGATGCAGCCGAGAAAAAGTCCTCAGAGCAGCTCTGCCCAGCGTGGTAGCCACTAGCTACACGTGACCGTTGAGATTTGGATTAATGAAAATGAAATGAAGTCATAATTTCAGGCCATCAGCTGCACTGGCCCTATTTAAGTGCTCCATAGCAATGAACTAAATTTCCAATTTCGTTTCTTTTTAATCAGTTTAAATTTCGATAGCCATGGGGTAGCGAACAGCTAACCTATTGGACAGCACAGACAAGGGAGGTGAGCATCTAGGATGGACCTTCTCACAGGAGCGCTGGTTTTTCAGATTCCCAGTTCATTAAGGGTCTGGAGCACCAGTGACGGAGTCACTTCTGGGTCCAAGTCCAGCCTTCACCAGGTGAGCTCTGGGCCTGGAGTAAGCCACTGCGAATCTGTTAGGTTCCGTCTCCTCACCCAGGGCATTTAGTGAATAATCGTACTTCCCATTGTAGGGTTTTTGTCAGAATTAAAGGATAATGCATTTAAAATCGCTAACATCGTTCTCGACACATCTGACCCTCTAAATGAGGGGTGTCGAACTCAATCAGAGAAGGGGCCAAAATCTAAAATCCAGCCTAAATCGCGGGCCGAATGGTTTACTGAACAGTCATAAACTGTCATTGTGATGGAAACGCAGCGGAGTGCAGTGATGACAGCGCGGTGCGGGCCACACTGCAAGGCCTGGCGGGACGGATTTGGCCGTGGGCCTTGTGTTTGACACATGTGCTCTAAATGGTTACCTGATACTTTTTTATTTCTATTGTTTCTCTCTCGTCTCAAACATGCTGGTGCATAATTTTGGCCTATAAACATGTTTTAGTGGCTGACAGCTCCACCAGCTGTGCACATCCACATGTATGTCCAGTCTGAAGATGCTCTGATGGGCTCTCTTCTTCCTAACCAGCGTGGGAGGGGCGTGGAAACAGGGAACTAGAGAAACCCATTCTGTCTCCTGTTTCCGTGGATCTGCCAGACAACAGCCTGGAAGAAAGATTGCCACTAGCATTTGAAACACTGCTTCACGCAGCATCACCGGAGCAGACCCTGCACTGCACAGAGCGGCCACCAGGGCGGCGGTGCTGACTAGCGGGGAGTCGGTCTTTGCTGCCAGCTCGCACTGTTGCATTTGGGTTTTGCCAGAAAACTCGGCAGTCTTTTGAGAAGGCTGTGTCTGGACTGCCGGGGCATCTTTGAACCCTAGACTCTCAGCCTGTGAGTAACACGTACGTGTCCCAGAGGGCTTAGTGGCAACACCTTGATCCTTTGATGAAAGCTAGATTTCAGGATAATGGATTTTCCCCCGTGGTCAGCAGCTTACCTTATTGACTACGTCTGTAATATTTAATCTGGCACGAAGCATGATCTTTCTGTGGGTGCCGCTTTTCCTTAGAACAGAGCTGGAAAAACAGATCGGGCCAGGGGCGGGCCAGCCTCAGATGTGGGCTGTGGCACCTCCCGGTTTGGCCAGAACTGGGAGTGTATGTCGCTCCTTGGAAAACAGTCTATCCCCACGTTCACAGGCAGTGAGTCAGTGGGCACGGGCACCACTGACACATCGCCAGGGGGAGCCTTGCAGAAGCCACTCCCTAAATGCCACTCCAACGCAGCCTGCAGCCTGCAAGATCATAGTGTTTGAAACGGTAATAATACCCATGACGGCTAATACGATTTGGTGTTTACCATGCTCTAGGTGTAGTTCTAAGCGCCTTCTGTGGACTGACTCACCGTCCCTGTGAGGTAGACAGAGTTGTCAGGGGCCCATTTTACAGGTGAAGTAAGTGAGACACAGAAAGGCCACACAGGTGAACGTGGAGGAGGAGGACTACTCAAACATGGCTGTTCTAGCTCCAGGGCCTGTGCCCTCAGCCACTACACCGTGGCCGCAGTGAGTGGTGGTGGTGACAGCAACTGATCACAACAGAGCACTGGCTGTGACCTGACATGCTAATGACTTCATCGGTAGCATAACCCTCCCCACAGTCCTTTGAGATACGGCTGGTTATTATACCCATCTTACAGGTGAGTACACTCCAGCCCTAAGAATTGTCACCTCGCAAGGCCAGGCGGACCTCGGATGAGTGGTCTGCAAAGCCCTTGCTCTTCACCTCTCTGGTGTACATCCTCACGTGAAGGGTCATGAGCCCACTTGGGAGATTCGCACCGTGGCTCAATCGAAAGGGACAGGACTCCTTTTCCTGTGGCAGCAGTTTGCTGAAGTGTCCGTGTGGCTCTGGCAGGGCGAGAGGGAAACTCAAGAGCACAAGAGTGCAGTG